AAAAATGAAAATAAAATGATGAAATTGAAATAATCTCTCCAAAGGGAAGCATGTGATGTGAGACCATGCTAACACACTCTGCATACTTCATATGAGATTCCAAGAGATATAATCTGAGCTTTTAGAACTTACAATTAAAATCTACAATCAGGTTTAAAATTGAAGCTACATATTATCCATGAAAAATTGAACTTACAATTGCAAGAGTTTTGATGGCATTGTTTCTGCTTTGGATTGCACCAAGTAAACAGTAATTGATCGATTTCTCCACCCAGTCCACTCCGTCAATTTGATTTTCTTCTGCAGATGGATGGATGGATGGATATGGCTTTCATTTGAGAATGAGTAGAGTTCTGAAGTTTATTGCTATGCTTTGCAAGGTCAACGATGCCATCGAATGATCAACGTACAGTGGAGTCGGCCAAAGAAGTTTACAGGAAATTACTATTTTCCCCTTTCATTATCAGACAAAAAGAAAACGAAAACAATTAGCAAAATTTAATGAACTTGCCTTGAAATTGCCAACCACCAGCTTCGGCTGAATAAACAGAGCAAATCCATTCAGACTTCATCTCCGCCGCTGCCTTCCTCATTTCCGCAACTGCCTTTCACATCAACCATATCTTCCCTCACTCCTTCCAAATGAATATTACAAATGATAACAGAACATTACAAATTTTCTTTTGGGAACTATGAATTACATAAGAAGATTAGAGAGTGGGTTGAATATTCAAATATAGAGAGCTTAACATTAACACTACAACAATGAGAGACCCAAATGAGCAAAGTGTAGCTCACATTCATTTTGTGCTTGTTAAAAGCCTACTAATTACATGCCAGGGCGTACAAGTTTTCCCTTTTCATGATCAAACAAAACCATGAAGTACAATCACTTAAAAAGTACGTACTATTTCCCATTGACACTACCCAAAATAGTACAAGTCACTTAGGACATTGTGACATTATCACAAACACCTACCATGAAGTACAACCATTAAGTATTTATAATCAGATAATTTGATTACAAAAGGATAATTATGGATATTCTTCTAATACAGAGAGCTTAGCATAACAAAAGTAGTACATAAGTTAATTAAGCATCATATCTAGCTAAGGCAAGATAGACTTTTCAATTCGTACGAGTTCTTTGGCCACATCAATCATATCTGGCCTTGCTTCAATTTTGTCTTGGATGCACAACAATGCCAGTGCTAGGAAATCCTTCAGTTGCTGTTGTGCTTGCTCATCTCCCCCGACTTCCTCAAGGATTTTAGGGTCCGCAATTGTCTCTATTTGAATCTGTCCATTAGAAACATTAAGTTTCGGATCTTCAGTAAGGTATTCCCACACATTTCCTGCCTCATTCCAATGTGCAGCTTCTCGTCGCATCAAGAATACAAGTAAAAGCACACCAAAGCAATAAACATCAATTTTTTCTGAACATTGACGAGACTTTACGTAAGAAGGGTCCATGAACCCCCTTATCCCTATTGCGACATCTTCTTGAACATACAATTGGTCAGGAGGAATGGTTATGGAGTCTGCAAAGTCGAAGAGTTTGGGAACATAGTCATCGTCCAATAAAATGCAGTGGGATTTTATACTCCTATGAATGATGGGCCTTGGAAAGGCTGTATGCAGGTATGTAAGTGCACTAGCAAGCTGCTTTGCAATACGCAGTCTAGTTTTCCATGGTAATAATTCATTATCCACTACTAAACTTCCATCCCTCTTGAGACCTCCTTTTCCTGCATTTTCAAACACCAAAGCTGGTGTATCGAACTCTAAGCAGCAGCCTAATAATTTCAAGGAATTCTTATGGGTGCTCATCTGCATTGATATGATAATATCACGAATAGCCATGTCGAACCCATGTCCATGTTCATGTTGACATGTCGAGCCTAGGTACTTAATGATAACTGTTCGGTCATCTAGAATACCCCTGTACATGTTTGCGAAGGGTGATCCATCTATAATGCAAGAAGGATCGAAGTTGTTGGTAGCTCTGACAACCACAGAGTAACCACGAATAGGATGAGATTTTCCATCACAAGAAGCAATTAGATCCTCTAGTAAGATGCTTCCATTCCTCAAGAAGTATCTCTTTCTTTTCTCCTTTTCCTCCTTTCGCTTTACACATGGAATGATTGAGAACCTGACATATATATGCACACACAAGAGCGCACACAACGCACAAAGGAATGAATAAGAAATCGATGAAATGAAAACAAATAAACTATCCCAATTCTCAAGAAAAGACATAGCATAAGCACCCACACTTTGCTTTCATTTTGTTCTTTACAATTTTACATGAAATCCAAAGAGATCAAATCTCAGCCCCTTTCGTCATATTCATGGATTACTTCGATTTACAACAGAATTACTATAAAAAAAAAACCTTAAAGGAACCACACGAAAATTTTGACTTACTAAAAAATCCTTAAAGGAAAGGAAAGCTATATATTTTTGTTAAACGATTAAAACCCGGGAAAAAAAAACTTACAAGGATTTGAATGCCATTGTTTACACTTGAAATTTCTCTGTTTAGCACCCAGGCCCCTTAGAACTGGACTCGGATTGCCCCAAAGTAAACAGTAATTTGCTGCAGATTTCGTGCTCAAGCACCAGTAATTTGTTGATATCTCCTCCCACTCTACTGTAGATTTCGTGTTCAAGTAGCAGTTTAGCTCTTTACTTTCATTCTCTCTGAGAAATTGCAAGCACAACGCCCCGTTATGAAATAACGTGCAGTGGAACCCAAAAATTTGTATCGTCACGGTCCTTGCGGTTTACTGTAATTACGGACAGATGCCACAGATTTCATTAATTCCACATACACCACCTAACTTTAAAATATGTGACAAACTTTGCATCTTACAAAATAAAATAAAATAAAATAAATAATAAAAAAGATTTATCTTTTTCAGATACAAAAAATGTCATAAACATTATTTCACATTTAAAAGAGAAAAAAATTAAAGATATCAATGGGGGACTAAGGGCCAGGCAGTTGGTTATGGGATACTTGTGTGTACTCGATAGATTGTGCTCTTAAAAATTTGAGAGCTTAACATTTCACGAAAGATATGGTGATTGTGTAACTTGTACTTGATGAGACAAACTTGTAATATTGTAAACTAAGGAGAAAATTCGCCAAGGTGGTATGTGTTGATGTTGTAGCAGATGAACTAAAACACAAGAAGATCCTTTAATAATGATATTGGAGATACCAAATCTTCTAACACAAAGTAGTCCAAATTTTAGATTTCTTGATCTTGCTTTTCTAAATGTTTCTTTAATTTAATTTTTAGATATTTTCTTTAATTTTACATCTCAAAGATTAATCTAATACTTTTATATATCTCTATTTTTCATCCGTCAAACTTAGATTTTTAATATAAGAAAGTAACACAATGAGTATAAATGAAATAAAAGAAACATGTAAGGTCTGATTGCAATTACACCAAACCTCATATAGTGTAACTGAAATTGTCCGTTTTATGTATTTGTTGGGAAGAAGATGCACGGAAGCTTCCCCCAATTCCTTTAATAGAAAGAAAATAGGTTGCCTTCCCCTCTATTCCCATGCCGATTTGGGATATCAAGAAAGGACCACACGCATTAGGAAGATAGTCAGAAGGAAGATAAAAACAAAGTAGATGTGAGATGAGAGAATTACTTGAAATGATGACTTCATTTTCCCTAATTTTAGTGTGAGTCATCTTCTTTTTTCTTTGTCCAAATTTTGATTTTGAATTTTAATACAAGCGATAGTCTAGGTGCCATGGTTATTCTCACCAATGTAACCCATAAAAGAAAATAAAATTAAAAAAAAAAACAGAACATAACTTACAAGGCTTTGGATGTCACTGTTTAGCAACCAGGCCCCTTAGAACTGGACTCAGATTGCCCCAAGTAAACAATTTTTTTTTGTTTGGGAAATACAGTGGGACGCAAACAAGAACCAATGTTTTACTTATTTATTTGTTTGTTTATTAAATACTAGCACGCGCATGTGATAGATTTTTATTTCCCACGTGCGGTATTGGATTTTTTATTTATTTAGTATCATGCACGCTCCGCCAATTTATAGGTTCTTAAATTATTTTTCGCAATTTTATTTTAAAATCTTAAGTCATAAATCAAAATTTTGAAATAATCTTATAATTAAATCAAAAGAAAATTTATAAATTTTTTTTTTTTAAAAAAAAAGAGGTGGGCACGTGGAGATGAGCAGACAAAGGGACACACGAGTTGGCTCTTGGTTGGAGACAAAAGAAGGTTGTTGGGGGATAAAATTGGACTGGGTGTAGGATATAAGAATAAGATGGGCTATTATTTTAAATGTTAATTTTTTTAAAGGGATGGGCTGGGCTATATAGGCTGGGGAAGTTTTACTAAAAATTGGGTCAGGCTTCAGCCCTATCTACGACATGGACGACATAAAAAAAACAAAATAAAACTTGAATAGCCTATTTTCGTCTTACAAACAGCAAACTGCAAAATAAAACTTGAATAGCTAGCTAGTTAAGGCAAGATAGACTTGTCAATTCGGACAAGCTCTTTGGCCACATCAATCATATCTGGCCTTGCTTCACTTTGGTCTTGGATGCACAACAATGCCAGTGCTAGGAAATCCTTCAGTTGCTGTTGTGCTTGCTCATCTCCCCTGACTTCCTCAAGGATTTTAGGGTCCGCAATTGTCTCTATTTGAATCTGTCCATGAAATGTTTGTAAAAATACGTGCTATACTATTTCTTTTGAAAAATAAGGAGAAACCGAGTATAGCCGGCTATACTATTTCTTTTAAACAATTAGGGAGAAAGGAGTATAGCCGGGCGGCTATACGTTTTCTTTTTAAAAAATTAGGAAAAATTCCGAGTATAGGTGTGCGGCTATACTATTTCATTTCAAAAATTTAGGAAAAACAGAGTATAGCCGAGCGGCTATACTATTTCTTTTTAAAACAATTAGGAAGAAAGGACTATAGCCGGGCGGCTGTACTTTTTCTTTAAAAAAAATTAGGGAAAATTTCGAGAATAGCCGCGCGGCTCTACTATTTCTATTAAAAAAATTAGGATAAAAGAGTATACTCGGCTATACTATTGTTGAGGCCCAAAAATCCAGGGGCTAGGCCCAAGCTTATTCTCGGCCCGGCGCGAATAATTAATCACAAAAGAAACCCGATCAGGGCATAATGGGAAATTGTAGGACACATCTACACGAGCCATGGGTCACACATCACGCCAAGCAAGCATGCCAAAAATGCAACGGCTTTGTAAATTCACGCTCATGAACCTATCTGGTGCTATTTAATTCGATCTCGGCTTATTATAGCGTAATAAAACTCAAGCACAAGCACGACAAATAAACATGCGATGCCATCAAGCCATGCTATAAGCTCAAGTGGGCCCAAGCCACGTAGTTACCCGGGGCTTGCTGAGAAGGTTGTGGCATGGATGGGTACGAGCACTCACAAGGCCCATTGAGGGACCGAGGAATGGAAGTTTTAGGCCACTTGGGAGCACTAAAACTCAGGCCCATTCCTCGGGCCCAAATACATGGGTTAGCATGAGAGAGAAAAGAATGAGGTCCAATGCCTTAGGAGAACATCCCATAGGCTGTTGTAGCATTTAGGAAAATCCATGATAGTTAGAATGCCCAAAAACGATTTCAGCCACTTCCAGCAGTTGGACGAAAGCATGCGAGCCGCTGGAAAAGAAAGCACCGATAACCCCAATACTATACACAAAGCCCAGCCCAACGTTTTATAAAAAATTCAACCTCGAGCTCCACCCTTATCAGAACCCCAGGGTAGTCAACGAGGGACCATAGCCAGAACCAAAGGAAATCCATGTACGTAGAGGGAATACCCACTGGATAAAGGACTTCATCCATTCTCTCCTTTTCTCTGCGAGCTTCAGTTTGAAAACCAAGGGAAAAAGCAAGTGGCGCCTCACCCCTATGGAGAGACCTAGCTGTGCAAAAACCTTGGAACTCAAAGGGGTCTGCGCTCCGGGGGAAGAAATTTCACCAGAAAGAGTGAATGGAGAGAAGTGAAGGAAAGTTGGGAATGGAAGATCGACCAAATTAGAGCCCTGAGCGCCTATAAAAGAGAGCTCCCTCTACCCAGAAACACAACACCATTCCAGAGCAAGACCAAGCTTTGTCAAGCGAATTGGAATTTACCCCATCCTCTATTTCCATCGTTTTTCCTCTCCCTCTGAGATAGAAACTCTCCTAATTTCCCCTTCTTCCACTCTAAAACCTTCTTTTCTGAAAGTAAAGGAATTACCCCCATCCTTTATTTCCATCGTTTCTCTCTTTTTCTAAGATAGAAGCCCCCCTAATTTTCCCTCTCCCACTCTAAACCCTGCCTCTCTGAAAGAAATTCATGCTTTGATCTCTCTTTCTCAAATTGCTAAACCTGTGAAAGCTTAGCTCCCATGCCACAAGCTCCTCACGCTAAGTCATCAACGAATTTCATGCGTTCTTCTGGGTGTTGGTGAAAAGAACCCAAACGTATTTTTCTAAGGCTTCAGCAGGTCTTTTAAAAATTCTTTTGGGAGTCTGGTTCTTGAACTCAGGCTTCAGGAGGTTCTTTTGGTTCGCTTTCCTCTCACAACAGCCCAAGCCCATTCGTTAGGCTGCTGGAACAAAAAGACCCCCACAACAATTTCTTTTTAAAAATGAGGAAGAAAATCCTAGTATAACCGCATGGCTATACAATTTCTTTCAAAGAAATTATGAAAAAAAAACCCTCCTAGTTGCAATAGGTTATACTTTATAGATATTAATTTCGTATTGCTGCGCGGCTATACTATTTCTTTTTAAAAATTAGCAAAAAAGGAGTATAGCGAGGCGGCTATACTATTTATTTTATACACAATCACAAATGGTCCCTCAGGTGTAGTACTTATGTTTTACTTAGTGATTATTAAAGGAAAAAAGAAAAAAGAAAAATTGAATTACTATTTATTAAGTAATACAATTCATGAAGTTAATCAAAAAATGTAATACTAATTATTCACTAAATAAATAATTATTAAAATATAATTACTAAGTTAACTAATTAAATGAGGCAAATATATTATTTATTTACTAAGAATAAAATATAACAAAATTAATTAACCTAAACATCCTAATTTTTCAAATGACCTCTCCCGACAAAATTTCGTCGGCAAAGGTGTTTTTCGTCAGGAGAAGTCTAATCCGACAAATCTTTGTCGGCATAGACCTCTGCCGACAAACTTTGGTCGGGAGAGGTGTTTATTTGATATTTTTTTTTTCAATTTTTTTAATATTAAAAATATAAAATAACTTCTTTACTTTTGTTTTTTTGGCCTACTTCTTTAATTTAGTATATGTAATTAAGTAATATGTTAGCCTTTTTTAATTACTCTAATTAGCAATGACCTTTTTTATTTTTTTTTATTTTTATTTTTATCAAAGTGAGATAACTTCATTGAAACAACAATGTCATAGTACAAAGGAAGATTGGACCTTAGTAATGTAACAAATGTGGCCTCATTAAAACCTTGCCTTTAAAAACACCCAAATGGGGGAAAATCCGGTCAAGGAAAAAGAGTACCACTACATCACATCCAGCATAAATTAATTAAGAAAATAATTTGTCACTGGGCTTAAATATATGGCGTTTGAAACAACTTTCTAAATCAAAGTCCTAGCACTAGGGCTTTCATTTCTAGAGAAATTTGTGTGTTTATCTATGCGGCTATACAAGAATGATGATATGAATGTTCAATGCGAATTTACTAGACAAACTCAATAAGACAAAAACATTATATGATATTTGAATTTTAAAAATAATTAGTTAATTAATTAACTAATCGGGTTTAATTTAAATCACAGAGCCCAAGAGCCCCAAGGCCTAAGGTTAACCTTTTGATTAATTAAATATATATATATATTACTTAACCATAACACACCTAATTCTCACATATTATTGAATAAAAATAATATATA